GCAGTGCGGCGACGACCTGCGGCAGGACATGCTGACGCTGCAGATGATCCGGATCATGAACAAGATCTGGGTGCAAGAGGAGCTGGACATGCGCATGGTCATCTTCCGCTGCTTCTCCACTGGCCGCGGACGAGGTAACCCGGCATCGGGGTGTCCCCGGTGGCATCAGGCCCCAGGTTGCGATGCTCTCGGGCTGGCGACGGCACGGGAGGTCCTGGGGCTATGCTAGAGAGGAGCTGCTGCGAGTAGCTGTGATCCACCTTCGGCTCTGATCCCACCAGCCCATCTGTAGGAACATCAACAGTGATGGCTGGGGAGCGGCTGGGCTGGTGGCAAAGGGGGGCTGGGGTCTCAGTGCCCCTGGGGCGGGATGGATGTGTCTCACCCTGCTGTCTCGGCTGCCAGGCATGGTGGAGATGATCCCCAACGCCGAGACCCTACGCAAAATCCAGGTGGAGCACGGCGTGACGGGCTCCTTCAAAGACCGGCCGCTGGCAGACTGGCTGCAGAAACACAACCCCGAGGAGGACGAGTACGAGAAGGTGAGGAGGAACCTGGCAGGGTCCCCACTCCTCGTGCCCCCCTCTCCAGGGACGAGACCTGTCCCCTCCCAACGTGTCCAGCCTTTCTCCACGCCTGGTGGCTCCATCTCTCCCTCCCTCCTCCCAGGCCGTGGAGAACTTCATCTACTCCTGCGCCGGCTGCTACAACCTGCTGGGGCTGGTGAGAGCCAGGGGGGCCACGCACCCTTTCCCCCCAGGCACAGCAGAGGGGTCCTCCTGCCGCCACCTGCCCTCACCCCCTGCCTTGCCTCCCAGATGCTGTCCTGTGGCATCCCCGAGCTCTCCGACCTGGAGGACCTCAAGTACGTCTACGATGCCCTGAGGCCGCAGGACTCTGATGCCGATGCCACCACCTACTTCACCAGGTAGAGGACATGGGTGGGTGATGGGGCAGGAGAGGATGGAGGGAGCCCATGGAGGGAGACACAGGCACCAACTCGGCACGCTGACGGGCTCCTCCGTGCTGAACACGTGGTGGCCTCATTGCAGGTTGATCGAGTCCAGCCTGGGCAGCGTGGCCACCAAGCTCAACTTCTTCATCCACAACCTGGCGCAGATGAAGTTCACGGGCTCTGACGCCCGCCCGACCCTCTCCTTCGCCCCCCGCACGCACACCATCAAGATGTCCGGCCGGATCCGCGATGTCTTCCTCTGCCGCCACGAGAGGGTCTTCAACCCCAACAAGGGCTACGTGAGTGGGGACAGCTGGGGACAGGCAAAGGGACAACTCAGGCGGTTCTGTCCCAGTGCTCCTTCCCGGCCCCATATGGGCTCGGGGCACCCCGCGGTCCCCATCCCACATCGCAGCCCCATCTCCCCGCAGACCTACGTGGTGAAGGTGCAGCGGGAGAGTCCGGGCGAGGTGGCCTTCGTGCAGCGTACCTTCGAGGAGTTCCAGGAGCTGCACAACAAGCTGCGCCTCCTCTTCCCCTCCTCACTGCTGCCCAGGTACCCCCGCAGACCCCCAGCAGACCCCCGGGGCTCCCCGCCGCCCCCCAGGCTTTGCTGAGTGTCCGTCCACGCAGC